CAAATAAGTACTAGGATCATGAATTCCCATGCAATGTTCGTTTGTAAATCTAGTTCTACAATATTGACAACATGTTTGATAATTTGAAGAATCAATGATCCTAACCTATCCTAGAATCTCTCTCGAGAATTATTGGACCTATTCGTGTAAACCACCCAACTATATCTCTATGACGAATGTAAATTCCCAAAAATGCATGTAGATTTATGATCATTTAGAGATTCACGCAAAGCATAAGGGTATATCTTTATCCCTTATCAGACTCTACGATGATTAATACCTTGTCAAATCTATTCCCCTTCTTTCGAACGCATGAAATAGATCACTACACTCACACAATCACATGCATAATAATTGTGGAAACAATAAGTGAATAAAAATCATTTAAACCTCAAAACATGTCTTCATTGTCAAATATTGTAAAACTAGAATCCAAAGTCTACATATCAAGGTTCATCGATCTCCTAGCACAGGAATAACTAGCCTAACATGGAGAAAAGAATAAAATACAAAAATAATATAAAAGAAGACATCACCAAATAACAATTACGCTTGAAAAATCGAGAATCTTGATGTTTTTCTTTGAAATCCTTGCATCCCGAACTTCTTCAAGATGTATTCTATGGTTCTTCTCTCTCATATGACGTCTCCACCTTCGTTATAGACGTTTTTTGGCTTTTATACTTGACCTAGATTTGTTTCCTAACGTGGTTGAACAAGAAAAGAAAACCGAAAAATTCTCGCCCAGAAAGGAACCATGCGTCTGCATGGTATCATTCCATGCGACCGCATGGAACTTCAAAATGCCCTCTTTTTATTTCCTATTGACCCCTGTGCGACCGCATGGAAGTTTCTACCATGCGGCTGTATGGTAGATCACAACTTCCATGTGTCTTTTTTTTTAGTCCTCGAACGTCGTCTTCCCATGTTTTGGCCTCTTTTGATCATTCTTTTCCTTCAATCATCCCATGCATCCCTCAAATTATGATTAAGCTTGTGTCTGTCCTTGAGTCGGCTTCGGGTTATCTTTTGGTTATTTACAATTTGGTCCCTAAACTTTTGTTTCCTTCCTTTTTGGTCCTTTTTGGCCAATTTCTCTTACGTTCCACCAAGTCCACGAATATAGTGCTATAAAATGAAATTAGATAGAATTAAGCCATATTCAAATGTTTTTGTCAACAATTAGTCATGATATGTGGCCAAATAAGTGTTGGTAAACGTACTTATCACTTCTCTCTCGCCTATTTCTAGGTGGAGGGAGGAGAAACCCCTGAGGTTCATATTCTAGATTTCGTTCTGGCTCTCTTTGTATGGGAGGCGGCTGGTAGGACATATTTCTAGGCCTTGATAGTCCAATACGATCGAACACACCGGTAGATCTTTGTGGTTCGCGTTCTTGAGCATATTCTAGGGAGAATTTTTCCTCCTACGGTATGTTATCACCGGGTCGGTTAGTAGCATAGTTGGTGGAAGTGTCCTTCTCCATTTCCCTTTCTGCTGGACGGACCTCTCCCCTCCCATACATTTGGGGGTAGGCTGTCGTGTCATTCTCCTTGCCTTCTTAGGGCAACATTCCCTGCTAAAGCACTTGGTACCCCGCCTGTTGATGCATTTGCATGAGTAGTTGCTGCATGGTGGCATTCAGCTGGGCCATGTTTCTCATATTTGCAGCCATCTCCCCTACTTCCCTGGCCAAACATGCTATGGTACCGCCTCGCCTATGTTGGTAGTTAGAGCGACGCACCTTTACATTTGTCTGAAGAACTTTATCTTTAGAAGCCTCTCGTTGTCTACTTCTACCCAGTGATCTGGAGTGGCTAGAACTAATAGCGTGTATTGGACTTCGAGCTAAAGGTAGGCGTTTTAGGTGTTTTCTCTTTGTAGTAGTTCTTTCTTCAAGAATCAATCATTTCTTCAAGACTCTGCTTTAGATGACTTCTACCATAAAGATGTTCGTGGTTATAGTGTCGATTTTCCATAGACAGCACCAATCTGTTGACCCCAAAAAACTTACCAATGACGTGGCCAACATATCTCAAAGCCACTCACGTCTACGTAAGCTGGATTCCTGCACACTTGGACACACCGTTAGCAACACGTGGCCTTCTCCGAGATGGGTGGAGTCAGTCATGCGTACTCCAATGGTCAAGTCAGTTGGAGAAGTAATTCGGAGTTTAGGAGAGCTTTTAACGTGAGCCTCCCATGTAAAATGGGGGTGGAGTAGTAAAATGTGTGTGAAGCAAGAATATAACTTTGAGAGTCTAAACTTGTATTACCTTTGAATGACATTGAGTGTGAGCTTTTATATTTGGGCAAAATGAATGGGGTCCGCCGGATGATAGTGCACGTGACCTCATCCAAATGAACACCCCCTCTTGTCGTCGTACATCAATCAGTCATAGTCTTAAATACTGAAACCACTTTTGTGTTTGTAAGGCCTAGCTTAAACTTTAGACTTGACCAAATAGGATGGCAGCGAAGACGGTGACAGTGAGTTGTCTTGTCAATCACATAGCACGAGATCTGCTCAAGATCTCGTCACCACCTCGTCCAGAATCAGTTCTTGCAATGGGGTCTACGTGTAAAAGGGTCGATCCGGTCTTCTATGTAGGGGAAGGCGGGTCGTTCATACCTGAAGTGGTTCGCCTGCTTATAGCTGGGTTGTCCCAAATCAGCGTATGAGGCGCGGGCCCCCCGAGTCGTTCGCCATGTAAGTATACTGAGCCCAGGTGTGGGTCCTAGTTTTTCAAGGTGTAACACTAACTAGACTTCATGTTTCATTTTTACGCTCGTTAAATACATCATTTCCTTCTCCTTCCCACACTTCATGGCTTCTTAACTAGTGGGTAAACTTATGGTTTCGTTTAAGATCTTGACAATGTTTGGATACTGAGAATTTACTAAATTTTATAAACACGAGGGATATTTTTAATATATGTATTCAGCAGACAATATGGCGTGGCCTGTATTGTTTATAATTATAAATTTTTGGCATGCTGGAAACAAGTCTTCACCGATGATATGGATATTTTTGTGGCCCGCCTTTGTACATCTTCTGCATATGTTCAACAAGATATGTGACATGCTCTGTACTGTTAAAACCATTTTTATATTAATACTCGTATATATTGTACGTGTGTTGCATATAGAATAGAAGAATCTATACTTTAGGCATTCATATAAATGATGTTTTTGAAATTGTTGTGGCCATTACTATAATCATGCTGCAAGTTTTACATGTTTTTCTATAGTTTGTTGAGCTTTTGGCAATTCAACTTTCTTTTCTTCCTAATTAACTACTTTATATATAAATCGAAGGAAGTCAAAGATTATATTTTTTAAGAGAATAAGAAGGGAAATATAGCAAATTAGAAGCAGAACTAATTAAATTAAATAGACATTAATTGGTTACTTTTGTGGACTTATGTCTTTGGCACGAATTTCTACTTCTTGTTGCATCATTAACATATTTTGGTTCTTCTTTGTGACTTTCTTCTTGCTATGTCAGAAACGATATCAATTTGTGCACACATGCATAAAGATTAATAGGTCCCAAATACTTTACCTGATGATGGTTTACCATTTTTATAATAACATGAATGAATTGAACTTTTCTCATCCCAAATCTCTAGGTAGAATTATTCCTAAATAATTCATCCCCCAAGTAATAGATCCTTTAGTTTTATATTTTAGAAAAATAAACGTTGAGTAAAAAAAAGAGAATGAAATTCATGGCAACTAAAATATGAGAAAAAGATCAGAATCGAAGAAACAAGTAAATTATGAAGAATTAAAATTGCATACAAATCCATAGCCTTTGGACCTGATTTGCAAATTAAGCAAAAGTAAAAATAAAAATGTATAATCTTTTTTAACAAAATTAAAATTAAATCTAAATTTTATGGTGTAGAAAATATGTTTTGTGTTGGTATCAGGTTGTTTTCACTTGTCTGTGTATCACATTTGTTGCATATATCCGTCTGTCAGATAGGCGCTGCCAATAGTTGCAGATGTCCATGTTTAACTGTAACATGGCTTTTAGTGGCAACACTACATCGGGATAGGTAGTGGCCACGCTAAAATGAGTGATGTTTTCCGTAGATAAATCCATCTTTTTTATAATTTTAATCTGTATATTCGTTGTTGACCTCAATTTCTGCACGGGTGATGTGGCCAATAGATCTAGGCTCCACTCACGTCCATACGTATGGCTCTTGCACACTAGGACAAATCGTTAAAAACAAATGGCCATCTTTGGAGGTGGGGGAGCCGGCTGTGAGCACTCCGACGATTAAGTCAGTCAACTTGTATAGATATATTTAGGTGTGGGATGGACAGAAGGCATGAGCCATGCTTGTGTATGGGCATTGAGACCTATAAGAGAATAAATGAGAGCAATATTACTACGAGAGTGTAAAATTATTTTACTTTCAACTAACACTAAGTGTGAGCTTTTATGGTAGAAGAGGTAGAATGGTCACTGTTGGATGAAGAGACATGCGACCACATCTTGACGGCCGAGGGGCCTTATTATAGGCTCATTCAATTAGTCCTAGATTCAGGGGCATTGAATGATTTTGAAAGTAGTCACCCTACGACGTAGGCCCGTCATATGAAGAGTAGGTTAACAAGTTAACTTGAATGGCTGACTGTTGCAAAGAGGTCACGTCAGTCAATTATAGAGGATCTTCTAGGAGAGAAGTAATTTTATTTCAACTTTTCAAATGACTAATTTACATGACATTCTTGCGATGATATCCTTTATCTTTGTTTAAATTGCATAATTCTGAACATCTTATATGATTTTGTGTAAGGGCATTGTGTATTTAGATTAATTCTTCTATTTGGTCTTTTTTTCCTTCTTATCATATGATGTGAAGGTATGCAATACTACCAGAAGAGTTATGCATAATAAGATGTAGTCTACTTTCATTAAATAGTATACATAATTACAAATGCTGTATCGAATCAAATTCCATAAATAGTTTGTAGGAATGTAATTACATTGGAGCTGGAGCACAATCTACAGGTGAAGATGGAGAAGGAGCAGCAGCAGCAGCAGCAGCAGACATAGGACTAGCAGCAGCAGCAATAGGGCCAAAAGCTACACCAGAACTTTGAATCTGTGCCATTGAACGCCGTGAACTTGTTTGTTGAGATTTGCACAGATCAGGTAAAAATGCCCCTGTTAATTGTTAGTAAATACAATGTTAGAGATGATAAAGATCACTTTTTCTAATATTTGAATAGTAGAGTTATTGGAAAAAATGAAGACAGAATAGTATCTGTCATTTGTATGATAAAAATGCCCCAGACCCACCCCTCTTGCCAGGGGTGTGCTGGGGGTGCGGTGGTTGTTGAGGTCACCTTCTCCGAGAGCCAAATTGTAGTAAAGATCAACAATGTTGGGACAGTTCTGGTTACACTGTGGTGAGCATAGCTTTGCAGTGAACTGAGGATCGAGGAGGGAGTCTGATGAGATCCCGACAGATTTTCTATCAACCCCACATGCGCTTACACATTCATCAGCCTCAATATAATCGCGCAAGTTAAGGGCAACCACTTCAGAAGTCTTGCATTGGAATCGCATAGTTCCATAATTTGATGTGTACGTCTCTAACAGGCATCGCTTCCCAGAGGAAGTGATTGAGAAAGAGCACAAACCAACTGGCAATTCCTCGCAGACTAGCACCCCTGCATCCAGGAAAAAAGAGAAACACAAATGTTAGTCATAGCATGGGATTGGACAATAGATTGAGAAAATTAATGGAAGCACTCTTGTTTTGGATTACCAAGTGCTCCCTGGAGGAAGAGAGCAAAGGCGAGGAAGATGATCATTTTCATTTTAGTACGGAAGCTTGATTTTTGCTTAGGAAAATTTGATTTTTCTTGTGCTTGGTGATGTTGGGAATGGTTTGAAGTAATTTTCCTGCAGAACTTACACGCAAAAGATGATTTTTATAGTGTCTGTGGGGTGGGAGGATGGGCTTGCGGCAATTAGGATAGGGTAGGGCAGGGGCTTAACAAAATGACATGGTAGTGGTACTGTTTTGAGAAGTATTTTGGACTAATGTATCGAATTTGGTTGAAGGAATCTCTGTCTATTTAACTTCTTATGTTTTATTAGACTTTCTCTTATAAAAGTAAATAATAATATTTGCCTTGTCATCAATGGAATTCGGAAGCCGGAGGGAGCGCACAGGCAAAGTTGCCAATCTTTGTACTATTCTGAATTGGTGTCTGAATGCTGAGTTGTTTTGTTTACAGCTCACTTCACGTGCAGGGTACGTCTAAAATATCAAATTAAGATTAATAAGATAAGAAATGAGATTATAAGTGGAGTGGAAGGTGGTGCCGGTCGAGAATAAATAAAGAGAAAGAGACTTGGATAATAGGGTCATATTTAGCATTGACCCAAAGACGCCTCATTCATATGACTGATGCAATTAACTTAGTATGTGTTAGTAGATCTACCAAATTTAATATGGGAATTAAACTTGGTTTTTTATTGTTGGTACAATATTGAGAACTCACAAAAAGAAAAGAAAATTTTTCCTCTTGTCAAAGTTATTATTAAAAATCAAGATTTTTCAGTATTTTGTCTTGTTTGTGAGCAATGGTCTCTTTTTTGTTCCTCTTTGGGGACAGACGAAACATAATACCATTATTATTATAGGAAAAAGTCTTAATTAACATAACAAGTTTAACAGACAAAAATTCCTTCAAACAATTTGCATGTAATGACAAGATAAATCTCAAACAAAACCATTACAATGTCATTTAGCTAAGGCCCCCACGAATAAACAAGAAAAAAAACTATAAAACCCATTTCTGCCTGTACTATTCCAAAGGGAAAATCACTTCACTCACATCATCAAGCCACAAAATATCAATCTTCAGTACCAAAATGAAAATGATCATCTTCCTTGCCTTTACTCTCTTCCTCCAGGGAACTCTTGGTAATCCAAAACAGAAATTCTAGCTCAATATCCTGTCCCATGCTTCGACTAACGTTTTTATTTCTCTTGGATGCAGGGGAATTAGTCTGCGAGGAATTGCCAGTTGGTTTATGTTCATTTTCAATAGCAACCTCTGGGAAGAGATGCCTATTGGAGACATACACATCAAATTATGGAACTATGGATTTCCAGTGCAAGACATCTGAAGTGGTTGCAATTAACTTGCAAGAGTATATTGAGGCTGATGAATGTGTGATTGCGTGTGGGGTTGACAGAAAATCCACTGGGATCTCATCTGATTCCCTCCTCGACGCTCAGTTCACCACCAGGCTATGCTCACCGCAGTGTTACCAGAACTGTCCCAACATTGTTGATCTTTACTACAATTTGGCTCTTGCAGAAGGTGATCTCTACAACCCCAATTTTCCCTGTCCCAAAATCACCTCATCTAAAAGCTAAGTTATTAAATATACCATTCACATTTTTCTTGAACCTTGACATGTGCACTTTTTCATAAATGGAAACTCAACACAGTGGTAATTTGCGTCTTCTAATGGTATTTGTTAACGCTTTTAACAGGAGCATTTTTATCTGATTTGTGCAAATCTCAACGAACAAATTCACGCCGTTCAATCGCTCAGATTCAAAGTTCTGGTGTAGCTCTTGGTCCTGTAGCTGCTGCTGCTGGTCCTATGTCTGCTGCTGCTCCTTCTCCATCTTCACCTGTAGATTGTGCTCCAGCTCCAATATAATTACCATCCCTACATACATGTTCGGTTTGCAGTACTTAATAGGACCTCATAGTATAATGAACAAGATTTTCGTCTGTTTGTGTTCCTTGATAACATCTATGACTATTCAATCCTCCGTGTACCAAACACACCATATCTATATATACATGTAATTTGATTTGATACGGCAGCTGTAATTATGTATACTATTTAATGGAAGTGAACTACATCTGATTATGCAAAATTTCTTCTCTGTTTTTTGATTGAAATGATTTGTAACTTGAACGTATGAATTTATATTTGTTTCTTATAAGCTTTCAGAAAGTATTCAGATTGGAGAACTCAATAAAGAAAGTAAAATAACTCAAGTAATTTACAATTTGTGAAAATTTATATATTTCTTCCTCTATGTAAACCAAATCAACTGATCTTTCATAGCCAACAGCAGCCTCTTCTTCACAAAAGTATCTTCCTATTTGTTTCAATCCTTTAAGCGAAGAGATTTCGAGTTTTTTGTTGATCAACTGTTAGTTTGAGGGGGACATGAAAGCCATAAATAATTAAAGGACCATTGTGTAAATATAATTTCTGAATTTTTATGCTCATATAAGAGTGGTTGTGGGTCCCACGAAATGTGTAGTTAAAATTAATTGCTGAATTTGACTTAGATTTTAATCTAAACTTTTGCTGAATAAAACACACAATGGTCATTTAATTATTTATGGCTTCCTAGACCAACAGTAGTTCAGGAAACCACTTTTGAGTTTGTCTTGAGTCTTTGAAACTGCGAATAGGATAATGCCTTTATGAGGATATCAACAATTTGAGCAAAGGTTGGGACGTATGGGATGTTAGAATCTTCTTTGTGAAATATTATTACCCACTGGTGTTTGTTATTGAAAAACCAATTCACAACTCTGATAAAGAATAGACTTTGTTGCATCGAACAAGTTGCGGGTATATCAGGCAATGGATAGATAATAATGTTTTAAATAATGTTAGTGGAAAGACACATGCTTGTACTCTATGGAGTATGTTGAACAATTGTATGCTACAAAGATTGAAAATAATAAAATATTTCTCATTAAGCAGATGATGGCTTTGAGATACGAGGTTGATGAGATTTAGGGGTTATGGTTGTTTTGTTCACCATCGGACTCATAGGAGTAGCTCAGAAATTCATTATCTAACTCTATTCTGGATGCTATCGACACAATAGATCTAGCAAGTAGCAATCTTTTAAATGATGAGATGTGAAGAAAATCATAGGGATCATCTTCACAGTTAGAGGTCTAAGTTACAAAAAAGATGGGGACAAGTAAGAACACAAGTTCGAAGAACAAAGACAGAGGTAGAGGAAAGTCGAACATGTTTGTGAACATCTAGTGTTATTATCGTTGGAAAAAGGAACACATCAAGAAACATTACAAACGATGGATGAAAAAAAAAGAATGAGAAAGAGAATGGAGAGACGAATGAGTGTATTGCTCTTTCTGCGTTAGAGGCAGAGTTTATTGCAGCAATAGAGATTACTAAAGAGTTGCTATTGGCAAAGAAGTCCATGATAGAACTCAGTTTCAAGCAGTAGAGGTATATGTAATTTTGTGATAGCCAGAGTGCTATTCATTTTGTTAGAAATTCCATTTTCAATGCAAGATCGAACCACATTGATGTACAATACCATTGGATCAGAGATACGTTGAATGATAAGTTGATGGTGTTGATCTCATATTTTGATTATAACAAATAAATTGTTTTATCTCTAACAATTGAATTCAAGTCTTCATAGCGATTGTGGGCAAGTTGATCAATTGGAGACAAAATGATAGCTACCAAGAGATTCACAATTTACGATAAAAGAAAATCAAAATGGAAGCCGAGAATTCACTTCAAATCAATCAAAGACAAGAACAAATCAAGCATTCTTGTCAAATTAAGTATTCATTGAAGATATTAGACTTAGATGCTTTGAGTTTATATGTAAAGGTAAAATGCTTTAATCCTTATCAATGAATCACCAAAAGCTTAAAAGTTGAATTTTTATGCAGGAAAAAAATTACTTCATAAAAATGCTTGCATAAAAATTATTTAAAAAAAAAAATCACTTGATTTTTAAACCTTTTGCAAGTTTCACTTATCTTGAAAAATTAAGTGAAAACGTGTTTCAAAAGTCTACACTTTTCAAAATAATCAAGAACGAGAAATCCGAGGAAAATTTGTCCAATCGGATGTCCGGTTTGTCTGATGGTCAAATTTTTAATCGTTCTAAATTCTGACGTACAATGGCTAGTTTGGCTGTCCGGTTTAGTATGCGGACGTCCGGATGGATCTTTTGATTGGTCAAAAATTTTGGCGTTTTGATTGTTATAAATATCACTTCACTTTACATTCAATACAACACTTTTAAGAGCATTTACTTGAGATATTTTTGAGCAAATCTATATTGATTTATCTTTATCAAATCATTTACTTTAAATTTGTTTTGATCAAATTAACTTTTGAAAATCATTCTACTAAACATCAATTTTTTCTCACCTAACACTTGAGCTTCATTCATTGCTATCTATTAAATTGTTAGCCTATTTCTCTTTTGGTACTTAATTTGATCGTATCAATTATTAAGAGAGAAGTTTCAAATTGTAAAATCAACTTCCGTTTAAATTTATGGGTCGTGTTGAGGTCTTGTAAAGCTCAACATTATATAAGGATCGGTTCTCCTTATTTGTAAGTCACCGAAAGCGTTGTAAACGGTTCGATTGTATCACAAGTCAATCAACATTTGAAAAGGCCTTACTCGTGCTAGAAAGCTTGGTAACGGATGACGTAGATCATTTTTTTGGATCGAACCTCCACAATTATATCGTTTGCATCCCCTCTCTCCCTTTTACTTATTGCATTAACATTTGTACTTATTATTTGATTTTATATTTTTAGTCTTAGCTTGCTTGAATTTATATTAATTCTTCGAAAAAATTTTAATAACCAATTCACCTTCCTCTTGGTTATCCATTCTTAGGCTATCAGATGGAATTTGAGAAAGTGCATACTAGTCATAATGGTTCTAATATGTTAATGAAGATACTACCAAAGAAAAAGTTTGAAGATTGTTGTTTGGTTGTTGGGATGGTGAATTTGTTCCCCTCGTTAG